TGGAGTCGCGGTGCCGAGCAGCAGGCCCGGGCGGGCGGGCAGCGGCCTCGCCATGAACCCCAGGGGCCTGTTCCAGGACTTCAATCCGAGTAAGTTCCTCATCTACGCCTGCCTGCTGATCTTCTCCGTGCTGCTGCCTCTGCGCCTGGACGGGGTCATCCACTGGAGCTACTGGGCCGTCTTCGCCCCGATATGGCTGTGGAAGCTCCTCGTTATCGCAGGCGCCTCGGTGGGTGCTGGCGTTTGGGCCCGAAACCCTCGCTACCGCACCGAGGGGGAGACCTGCGTGGAGTTCAAAGCCATGTTGATTGCCGTGGGCATCCACCTGCTGCTGCTCATGTTCGAAGTCCTGGTCTGCGACAGGGTGGAGAGGGGGACCCACTTCTGGCTGCTGGTCTTCATGCCGCTCTTCTTCGTCTCCCCCGTGTCCGTGGCTGCCTGCGTGTGGGGCTTTCGACACGATAGGTCGCTGGAGCTGGAGATCCTGTGCTCAGTCAACATCCTGCAGTTCATCTTCATCGCCCTGAGGCTGGACAGGATTATCCTCTGGCCCTGGCTGGTGGTGTTCGTGCCCCTCTGGATCCTCATGTCGTTCCTCTGCCTGGTCGTCCTCTATTACATCGTCTGGTCCCTCCTGTTCCTTCGGTCCCTGGATGTGGTTGCGGAACAGCGAAGAACGCACGTGACGATGGCCATCAGCTGGATCACGATAGTGGTGCCCCTGCTCACTTTTGAGGTTCTGCTGGTTCACAGATTGGATGGCCACAATACATTCTCTTACATCTCCATATTTGTCCCCCTTTGGCTTTCATTAATCACTTTAATGGCCACTACGTTCAGGCGAAAGGGGGGCAACCATTGGTGGTTTGGTATTCGCAGGGATTTCTGTCAGTTTCTGCTTGAAATTTTCCCATTTTTAAGAGAATATGGAAACATTTCATATGATCTACATCATGAAGATAGTGAAGATGCTGAAGAAACGTCAGTTCCAGATGCTCCTAAAATTGCTCCAGTGTTTGGGAAGAAGGCCAGGGTAGTTATAACCCATAGCCCTGGAAAGTATGTTCCCCCACCTCCCAAGTTAAATATTGATATGCCAGATTAAACTCACTTTTGGGAGTGTCCTTAAGAAACCATACACACAGATCTAAAACCCACTTTGCTTTTGCCTTTTTCATCCATCCCAATCCTAGAACTGAAAACAGGCTCCAAACACCATCATCTCATGCCTGCTTGGAGATTGATGCCTATCAGTGACTGTCAGGATGTGCCATAGATGTAGGGGGTTATTTGAATATATGGTGGGGTGTGTGGTTATGATGTGTGCGATAACTTGCTTTCCAGATTGGTGCTTAAAGAGCTAGCTGGGAGTAGTAAGTTGAATTGTTTTAGTAGGTCCTCAAATGGAGTAATTAGATAGCTAGGTTTTGTTTTTTTAAGTGGTACTACACCTATCAAAAGTATTGTTATAAAGTATTTTTATACACTGCTAGCCTAAAATTGTATTTCAGATAGTGTTTGTTGTGGCATAATTGAAAGCAAATGTAAAGAATTCTCTCTCCCATTACTTGTTTATAAACTTCATAGTTGTTATTTTCAGTGTTTCTACTGTTAAAATTGTTTTTCTTCAGGCTTTGCTGATTATTCTTTGATAGCCTAATAGGTGAAATTTTCTAATGCAGTGAATCCATGCATATATGATATTTATGTAACTATTTTAGCAATGTAATGTATTATGTTGAATTCTAGTTCTGTGCAGTACAATGTATTGTTATTTTTTTAAGTTTATATGTGATGTATGTCTGTTGCAGATGTTCTTAAAGATTGCTTCAACCATTAATATGTACCCAGTGTAGGATCTGTCATAGTACTAGGCATGAGTATAGGGGTTAAAAATCCCAAGGATCTTAATACTCTGGTGTTAGATGACTTAGTCTGCACAGGTTTAAGTTCTCTTAGAAGAAGGAGCCACCATCTTTTGGGAACAGGTGACATGCTCCAGTGTGGTACCAGGCCATAAAGTGACACTTAATTGGCACCTTGTATTTTCCCACACAGGTAGTAACGTGCAGAAACAACTGAAGTAAGCAAGTGGTTTGTCCATTTCTAAGAATATTACAGTATTAGTTGGCCATAATATAAAGTATTACTTGTCATTGGGAAGCTCAAGACAATGGCCTTAACCAGAAATGGCCAACAGGGTCAGGTATTATTTTACGTTCCAAGTTTTTCGATCTGTTAGCAACAGGGAAATAATAGTTCAGGGGCTTTTTAGGTTTTGCTTTTTAAAAAAAATAAGTATAATGTTTCTTTAGGTGCTGGTGATAGACCAGAGAATCAGAAGGCAAAAGCCAGATCCTGGGAGAGTACCATTCTGGCTGAGAACAAAGACATGCTTTCAGAATGAGGTTAAAATAAAAGGAGTGTTGATATTCTTACTGGGGAGGAGACGAGGGAATTCATTAGCAACTTAGTAAAAATACTCTAAACTGAGCTCCATGTGAATTATGTAAATAAGTTCAACAAATGCTAGCAACAGAAGCCACCCCTGGGAACATGGGTACCTGAAAGCCTGAGGGAGCCACAGCTCAGTTGAGTGGGCCAGGACTGAGCCAAGGTCACATATAGCACATGCTGTCAGCGTACACAAGCTGTCAGAATGTGGGAAGGGGCTGAACAGCAGAAGATGTAACTTTTCATAAGCAAGGATTCATTCATTCATTTTCTCTAATACTTATTGAGGACCTACCTACCTACTGTGGGCCAGATGTGGTGTTAGGAAGTGCAGATACATTGGTGAACAATTCAGGTGTGGCTGCCCACATGCACAAAGTGTACAATTAAAAGTGACAAGAAGACAGGGCTCATAACAGCAGCCAACCTGTGGGAGGCAAAAAGCCAAGAGCAGGGTGTGCAAAACACATGGAAGGATGCTACTGGCCCTGGGTGACCTTCACCTGGGACTTCAGGCCCATCTTTGTTTTCAGGAGCCCAGTCTCCCCTGATCACCCCTCCATCCCCAAATAATATCTCAGACATGGACTTTCTCTTCAGTAAGGTTTAGGAGTGGAGGAGCAGGTTTCTGGAGGAATCGAAGGGCAGACTTGGGGGCAGCAGTGGGATTACGAGTCCCTCGTGGTCACAATGTCAGGCTAGGAGCTTGGAACAATCTCTCCTAACCTGACCCGCCTAACCTGCTCCACCCTAAGGTGGCTTAGTGTTGGAGAACCTGTGCTTTAATATAATTACAAGCTTTCTCACCCAGGTAGGTCATCTCCTGTCACCTCTTTCCTGCCTCAAGACCATTAAGTAAAAACAGTGGGAGTGACAAGTTGTGTTTAGCCTGCAAATTAACAGTCTCAGCTGTGCGTGAGGATTTACCTAATTGCCATACACCTCTGACCACGGTATTTAGCATGTGTCAAATTCTGTAACTGGTTTCTCCTGTACGATCGATGATGTATTAGTCAGGTTTTGCTGAAAAATAACCTCAAAAATCTCAGTGGCCCACAATTATAAACTCTGGTTCTCGGGTCTACAGGTTGGCTGCAGTGGTTACACTACAGGCTGTGGTCTGATCTAGGCCTCCACAGGCATCCCTTATTCTATTCTGGGTCCCAGGTGAAGGAGTGGCATTACCTGGGGCATGTTCTTTCTCATAGCAGAAGCACAAGAGGCCAAGCCAAACTCTGCAAGCAAAAATACAGCCCCCCTCACGTGTTAGATGAGGGTACCCACTCCGTTGGCCAAAGCACAAGGCCACCCTCAGTTGGGGGGGGCTGGTACACACTCAAGGAACAGTAACAGTCTGCACAGATGTTGCAAGATGGTTTTAAAGACGGGAAAGGAATCAAAAAATTTATGGTCAGTTGTGAATGATTTTCCCATTTCACAAACATTTTGTAATTTTTGGAAGTAAATTGTTTAATATTGTAATAATCATTAGAAGAATATCTGTGGGGGGGTGGGGAATAGGAGATTTGAGGTGAGATGAGGAAGGCACAGGAGACGCCACACAGAGTTTCGTGAGTTTTGTGCCCAGGGCTGTGCTAGGGACTTGCAGGATGCCTTGGAAAGGTCAAGCCTGGGCACAGGGAGGCCAGCTGGGCAGGAGGCCCTGGGAAATGAAGAAGCAGTCTAGACGGTCCAAGGCAGCACCCAAAATGAGGAAGAAGGCAGGCCCTCCCCACCAGCCCTCCCCAGGGGTCTGAATGGCACAGGACGTTCCCTGCTTAATGAACAGTTGGGAGGGTTCAGGTAGCTTGCAGCCTGACAGGCAGTCTGGGGTCTCAGCAAGCACGCAGATCCAGAGAAGTGCAGCTGGAAACCAGGCAAGGCCGTCCCTCGGGGACTATTGGTGAGGATGCTGTAACTGGTACCCCACGATTGGCCACATGGCACTGCCACCTAAATAGTGCCACCAGTGTCACCGTCCAGGGCCAGTTATTCCTCAGTTGTCTGCCATGAGCCCAAGGTTAAAGTTCTAGGCAGGAGATATGATTGGGAAGCCAGGAATGCGTCCCTTCTGCAGCTTCTGGGGCATGGGAGGAAGCCATGGGCGGCTTTAGCTGGAGGAGGAGGCAGGCCTAGCAGGGGATTTGCCCCAAAAGGGTGTCCAGATGCTGGGTCACCAATGACAATGACGGAGTGCATTATGCTGAGTCCCTTGGCTCTGATGTACCTCCTTCCTGTGTCTCACATCAAAAATCCTGGCCCATCTGGCGTGTTACAACTGGCCTCTCAACCAGCTCATCCCATCCCGAAGGGAGGCCATCGGAGCTGCTCAACTACATCCAACTCTTCAGCTGGGACATTCAGAGGTGTCCTCCTCTAGGTTTGTCATGGTTCACTCCATATGTTCTAGAATGTGTGGATTAAAGCTAACTACCAGTGCAGCCCAAGACCCCTGGGGCCCACAGAGCCCCCCCAAACTGCACCTCTGGCGGAGGCCGACTGTCTAACCGAGAGCAGGCGCTGCGGTAAGAGCGCGGGGCGAGGAGAGGGAGCTGCCGCCGGGCAGCCAGCCGGTCAAGCTTCGCAGAGATGCAAACCCGACGCCACTCTTCCACCCACCGATTTTGTTTTTGAAAATATGGTTATTTTTAATTTTATAAAAAGTGAATATGAAGTGGATTTATTGCTTTTAAATGAAATAACATTTTTAAAAAACTTATTGGCTTTAATTTCTACCCTGGCAAATGTTGCTATAACTCACATAGACACACGTTCATTGAGGCCTTCAACAATTTTAAGAGTGTTAAAGGGGTCCTGTGACCAAAAAGCTTGGACACTGCTGCCCTGTATTATAGTGGGAGAAAGAGAATGGAAAGAAAGTTAAAATTGAGTGAAATATATTAAAATCCACATGACAGTGGTGAAGAAAAAATCATAGAACCCATCGTTTCTGCAAGAGATCATAGGACAGCTTCTGTCCTGAGAGAAGCCACGCCCACTGTCCTTCCCCTGCACCTTGGCTGGGTGGATTATTATATATTTATTATTACCCAGTGGGGTAACTCACATCTTGGTTCCTGGGGCCCCGAGCCCTCTGCTGGTCCTGCTGGTGTCTGTGTCTCCTTTAACTTCACCTAGAACTAAGGGCCCAGGGTCTCCTGGATTCTGGTTATACACCCCCCTCCACTTGTGGCAGCAACATTATTTTTCCTATACAGTCCTTCAGAAGATAGGTGGTTGCCCCTGACTACCAAGAGGAAGTAGGCCTGGACAGTGTGCCCCAGAGCTCACCGGCCACCCTCACTCTGTTTTCAGGATGTCCTGTTTATTAGATGCATCACGGACAGAGAGGGGAAGTGGTTTTGTAACCTGTCTCCACAACAGCAGCTCAGATCTCTCTGGCTCCCCTCCCAGGCCCTCTGCCTCCGCTCCTCCCCCATGCCTGTCACCATCCTCTCATCCTGCGCCCAGGCCTCAGCCACAGCCAGACGGGCCTCATGCTTCCTCTTGGGACATCAGCAACACTCCTCTGCAGAATCTGGGACCACATGGTCCATCACGCGTGTCCCACCCCAAACCCCTGCTGGTCCCCTCACAGCCCTGTTGTAGGGGCCTGCCCTCCTAGACAAGGGCCAAACCCCCACACAACCCTAGTGTCACCAGCCCTCCTCCCTCTTCACACAGTGACCTTCCTCAGGCCTCACGTCTGCCTGAGCAACTCCCTAGAGGTCATACTGGCTGAAGTCCCTCCTTGTGGCCTCTCTGGCATTTGACCCAGGCTTTAACCCAGGGCAGCAAGTGGTGCGGGAAGTTCAGACTCGCACACCAGTCTGAATTGCAACCTTTCCAGGAAGCCAGTTCCTTCCCTCCCCCCACCCCCACACACTGGGTAACCAGCCATCAGTGAGAAAGTCTGGACACCCCTCCCATCTGTGGCAATGGCCCCAGGCCAGTGCTGATACCCAGCAGGGCTGCCCTGACCTGTCCCACAACCCTGACCTCCCACCATCCAGCCAGTTTAATGGCAGGACTCCCTGGGTGGTTTTTTGGGGGGTGCGGGGGATGTTCTGGTTGTTAAATGTTTTGAACATCCATTGAGGCCCTTTCTCTAGTCATGGCCTGGCTCGCCCTTCTCTCCCTTCCAGCTCTGCTTAGTCTTACACTTCATCCTTGGTCCCTGACCCTCTCATGTCCCCTGGGACAGAATAGCTGAGCCTGGTCTCCTGGTTTACCCTGACAACCAGGACAGATTCTGCCCCACCCAGGGGTGCACACTGTGACTCACATTGGCTCTGAACACGTCAGGCAACCTCCCAAGAGCTGTCACATCAAGGCTATGGCCACCTCAACCCAAGCCCCAGCCTCGGGAGCCCCACAGGGCTGGAACATCCAGTCTGGGATCATCTCTGATGACCACCATACTCCCAAGAGGCTTCAGGCAGAAGTCACGAGTGGGAGGCAGGGCCTTACCTGAGATGTCCCGGAGGCCCCACCGACCCATACCCCCTGCTTGTCCTTAGCAGGTGAGAAGGGGGCATTTCAGAACAGGCCGTGCAGGCTACCCAGTGCTCCACTGATGGCCTGGGCCAGCCCCAGAAAAGAAGGTGCATTCCCCACACCACAAAGTCAGTGACAGTCAGCCATGTGCCAAAAACACACAGTCAGCTCTGGCTGCCATACCTATACCACAGACTGGGTGACTTAAACCCTTAAACCAAGCAAATGTATTTCTCACAGTTCTGGAGGCTGGAAGGCCAAGATCAGGTGGCAGTGTGGTCGGATTCTGGTGAGAGCTCTCTTCCTGGCTTGCAGAAGGCCACCTCTCGCTGTGTCCTCACAGGCAGAGAAAGAGAGGAAGCAAGCTCTCTGGTGCCTTTTCTTACAAGAGCACTAATCCTATCATGGGGGCCCTGCTTTCAGGAGCTCATCCAAAACTGATTACCCACCGTCCAAAGACCCTGTTCCCAACTACTATCACATTTGGGAGTAAGGCTTCAATTTATGGATCTGGGGGAACACAATACAGTCCACAGCACACACAAAGCACAGAAGGCCCCAAAGCAGGGGACCAAGCCTAACATTCACTCAGCTCACATTTCCCGAGCACCTTCTGTGTACCGAGTGCAGTGGTCGTACCCAGATGTGAGAATACAGAAGATACATACATTGGTCTTTGCTCCAAGTTTCTGGCACAGGGCTCCTGAGTCCCTTGTAGATTCCTAAGTGTTAAGAGCATCTCTTGTTCTAATGAAGTGACTCTGGGTGGGATACTGGATGGGGGCTGGTCACCATGGCTGGAAGCTTGGAATTCTCAGCCCCAGGCGCCATCCTCCAGGGAGAGGAGAGAGGCTGGAAATGGAGTTAATAATTGGTTGTGCCTGCAGGAGGAAGCCTCCCTGACATCCCAGTAGCATGGGGTTCAAAGAGCTTCCAGGTTGGTGACACATCCACATACCAGGAGGTGACACCCATGGGGCAGAAGTTCCTGCACTCGGGACCCTCCCAGACCTCGCCCTGTGCGTCTCCCCACCTGGACCTGCATCTGCCTCACACCCTTTAGCGCGCCCTTTAATCAACTGAGCTCTGAGCCGCTCCGGTAAACTGATCAAACCCGGGGAGGGGGTCGGTGGGACCCCCTCTACAGCCAATTGACCAGCCGACAGGTGAGAACGTGGGCTTGCAAGTGGCATTCGAGGTGGGGGTAGGGGAGGCAGTCTCATGGGACAGAGCCCTTACCCGCGGGATCTGACACTATCTCTGGGTAGAGAGTGTCAGAACTGAGCTGTGTTGTAGGACACCCAGATGGTGTCTCAGGAACTTGCTTAGTGTAGGGGAAACCTCCACACTTGGGGACCAGAAGTTCGGAAGTGCTGTGTTCTGTGTGAGGAGCAAAGGACACTCACAGGAAAGAGACTGAAGGGCGTGTTCCGATTGCACAGGTAGGCACGCCACCAAAGAGCCATGGCCGCTGCCCCGAGAAATCCCCGGTTACCCCCAGGGCAGCCAGGCCTGAGAGGCGGCGCAGACACCGACACCGGTGCTGGGGAGCAGGAGGAGGGCGGGAGCGCGGTGCTCGAGCGTGAT